TTTTTTTTTTCTGACAGGCTGGGAAGGGGGGAAGGAGCGCTTACCATGGCCTTGATGGTGTTTCCGTTAGGGCCTGTTACGGCAACGCAGGCGCCACATTCGGCCGCGTTGTCCCAGCGTGGGGAGCCGAGTGCGGTGCCGAAGAGGTTGGATGGCAGTGTGTAGCCCGTGAACGAGCATGCGCCGCCGGAGATGTTGCCGCCGTAGAAGGTGGCTGAGCCGGAGTTGGATGCGCTGCTGCTGCTGCTGCTGCTGCTGCTGCTGCTGCTGGCTGAGGAGCCGGTGGATGAAGAGGTGGAGGCGGCTGGGGCGGCCGTGCTGGTGGTTGATTGCTTCTGCTGCTTAGTTGTAGGGGCAGCCACGGCGGTTGTGGGTTGGATATCAGCAGCGGAGGAAGATGAAGTAGAAGGCTCGGCGACTACTTCGGTGGGCTGAGCATCAGCCGTGGTGGAGGATGTTGTAGCAACGGTTGGGGCTGCTGCGGGCTCTTCGGTGGAAGAGGATGAAGTAGAAGGCTCGGCAACTACTTCTGTAGGCTGGGCTTCAATGGTGGTGGAGGGTGTAGCAACGGTTGGGGCCACCACGGGTGTCTCGGTGGTGGATGATGAAGTGGTAGGCTCGACAGGAGCGCTGGATTCCACCGGAGCAGGAGTCTCAACCGGGGTGGATGTAGGAGATTGGACTGGAATCTCCGGGGTGATGACTGTGGTCTCCGTGACGGTTGACGAGGACTCCAGGGTTGTAGTTGGCTCAACGGATACAGTCGACGCCGGAGTGGAACTAGCAGTAACAGTCACATAGTATACACTCTGTGTGTATCCTGAAGGACACACCGACTGGCCCTCATGTCGAATGAGAGGGCTTGCAGAGACGGATCCCGAAACACTCAGGGCAGCAAGGCCCAGGGAGGCAATGCGTTGATACTTCATAGTGAACCTTTGTAGATGAAATATCGCAGGCCTGATGTATGTCTCAATATCGAGGTAAGTGATGAGGGAAAAGAGTAATAATGCCTATATCTCCGCCAGCAAAGGAATGTATTGAATGGGAAGTAATGACCGGACGTGCAATCGGCACCGACTTGGTTTCAAGGAATGAACGGCTTCTGAATCTCGGATTCCAGAGCCAGTAGACCTGCTGTTTCAAACAGAAAAAGGAACGACTGAGAGAGGAAAATGGGAGGAAGAAGAAAGGGGATATAACAGCGGGATTCCGGGCATGACGGTGAGACACAGTCCGAAGGCCAGAATACGGTTATGGTTCGTGCAATCCTCGCAGTGGATCCGTACTTCGTAGTTTAATTTCCCAACGCCTATAGTCAAGACCGGATTTAGCCTATAGCCATGGCTCGGATGGAGTGATGCCTATCCGGCAGTGGTCCGGATCGCTTGGATCCATCATCCCGATCCGCGTTCGGTGTTTCATATAAAAGGCTCATTTCGGTAGTGGGCAAATGATCCCAAGTTAGTTGCTGCCACCTTCACATTGTGTGCACAGAGTCTTACGATCGATTGATTAAAGATACGACGCTAAAATATTACAATTGTGGAGAGGTCATTTCGTTAGATTGCAAGTGTTCAGCCACCAAGCCAGAGTACTGGATAGAAACAATAGGAATTTGTATTGTAGATTCTCGCCACCCGATAACAGATCAAAGCATTGATGAGTACTGGCAAGCGGATGAGTCTATCAACCCCCACCCTCTCTCCTCCCCGGCATGAATCACCATCCACATATGTACACACGACGAGTCATCTGTAGCTCAATCAGGTTGTAAGTGTCACAGCCCTAAACTTGCCGGTCGGGATAGCCCTAGTCGGTGCTTCTTTATGTAGCCCAGCCATTTCAAGCAACGCATCTCTAAACCCCCGATGGTCTAGTTGGATATGGCGTCCGGCTGTAATAGCAATTATTATGGAATGATATCCTGTCACCGGAAGGTCGCCGGCTCGATTCCGGCTCGGGGGACGAGATAACTTTTTTGCGTTTCACCTCAGTAGGTGGTGAGGTGGGTCAAGCATAGAGTTTAGTGTCGTTTCCTGCCGCATGACACATGACACTTTTTCAGCACGTTGTCTTACCTACTTATCTTACAAAACCACCTCTTCTATGTAGAATCCAAAGTGGAATTCAAAGTGTCTTGTACCTCCCTACCAACATTTAGCAGTATGTGGCCATTGCGGGTGGCATTATTCAGTGTACTCACCCTCATAACGCCCTAGGGACATTATCATCACATTGGAGTCATGTATAAGAAACGACATGCAGGGACTTGCAGTAAAATAAATACTGCGATACCCGTGTGCCAGTGAACGCAGCATGTGCTTGCTTCTCTTCATATATATATATATATATATATGCTATGCGATTGGGCTATCCGTCCAGGAGAGGAGGAATTTTCAAAAAGCAACGCCGATTCGGAGAATCAACCAGATTGCAGGATTATCAAAAAGTTATCGCTTCCCCCGAGCCGGAATCGAGCCGGCGACCTTCCGGTGACAGGATATCATTCCATAATAATTGCTATTACAGCCGGACGCCATATCCAACTAGACCATCGGGGGTTTTGGCGATGCCGGGTTTTCCAGATTATGCTATACAAATAAAGGTCATACTCGAAGGCAGTCGGCTGTGCTTGTCTGTAGAAACGAAATCTAGTAATACTATGCTGATCCCTGTTGTTGTTTTGTATTTTCTTCAATTCTGCTACGGAGATTACAATATAAAATGAGTTGTGCTGGAAGAACCCCCCGAAAGTACTAGACTGAATAGGGTTAGGGCACGCCGCCGGACCCGAATAGGAAGACGGACCGAGATGATAATCTAAAGATTAGCGCTAGTAAACCTTGTTCTGCCGCTTTCTGTGTAACCGCTTCTAAATAAGGACTAGTTCATGCCTGCTAGCCTTATTGGGTCTAGTGGGTGCTTTGAACACAGTATTAATGTTGGACCATGTACTGTCTACAGAATATATACTCCATTCGCAGTTGCAGTTAGGTCCTTCATGATCAAGACTAGGCTCGCTTAGGAGACTAATATAGCTAGTATGCTGCACTTCTTGGACGAGCTGTGGCTGCGTATTTAAATGCATAGAAGTCCAAATGGGCAAACAGTACTCAGAAGACTAGAAGAAATAAGGGGAAAAAGGGAAGGCTCGATGATAGAATAGCAGCACCCCGATGACGGACCAGGGGCTCGAAAGCATCTGGATAGGCACTACTCGACTGATTTGGAGACCTCTTTGTGTGGTGCAGGCCAGCTTATGTGATGACGCGACACACCGCTGTGTGATTCCAAACCTATTGATTTATCTTGAGTCAATCACATTCTTCAAAGGAGATAGTAGCGCACCAGACACCTTCTGCTTTCTCATGTTGTGGTGTTGCTTTCTAGTTCACAGGTCAACTATCCTATATAGTAGAGCCTTCATTCAAACCGCGCATAACGTTGGGCATATAAGCCGCCGCGAGTCATGCGTAGCAATCGTGTACAAAGCACCACGTACCTTCCCAACATAGAAGAAAAGAGGCGACTCAGATAATCCTCTACAGATACAGGCCAAATATCTGACATCCCTGATGTTAGGGGGGAAAAAGTACCCCGTTCCCCCGCCGGTGTCCTCGGTTACAAGAAGCTTCCATCACAGCCGAGTGTCATATCCAACTAGATCATCAGGCTTAGATACATTTATCTCTTCAACTATTTCATTTATTAGCAAACATGTCTTTAAAGTGGAAAACGATGGTCACCATCCAGATAAAGAGCAGCCTGACAAGCAGAACAAAGATCTGTGCGTTCCATTCCGATTGATATAGTTCCACTTGAACAAAGGTAGCAGGACACACAGATAGAAGTAAGCCGGCATGGTGGCTAAAGAATCAATGGAGTAGAAGAAATATAGTACAATTAACAACCTTCAAAGACTATTTTGTTTCTATGTTAGGTTGAGCGGCATATTTTGTATATAGAAACTGTGGCTATGGCCAATGTGCTGTCGGCGACTTAGGAAGCAGAATTAAAAAAATGCTACTAGGAGAATCTCAGTAAGAATTTTGCTGCACTTGAGTCATCCCTGCAAGGCTATTCACGCGAGGGGTTGGAAGTGGCAGGTCCCACTTCTACTGTCCAAGGAAACATTTTTCTAAGAAGGTGGCAGTGCCTTAAGGGACGATATTCATTAAAATTGCAGGAAAATTATGGCTTAACACATATTCCGTACCGAGAGCTGGTATCATATATATAAAACAAAGCAGTTCTTCTTCACTCGGTAATAAGTTCCAATATTTCTCCACTCTAGGAGTTCAGACACTTGTAAATGCCATCCAGGACTACTGATGTATACCTTCTCCGCCTTGACAAAACAGTGCTAAACGGATAAACGATGCGATGTCGGATTGCTACCCAAACATATGTGATATACCAATGTTAGGAAATGCACTGCATTTGAAAATCTGGGATTTGGCTGTTTCGCGGCCCTAGCACGACGGTTAAACCACCGAGAGCGCCAGAAATTCACAGAGGGCTACCATTATCGTCGTAAGATTGGCATGCAGTAGCTGTCAGACAGCTCTCCTCCTTTGAATGCACAAGTCCTTGAAGGAATAGAGGCCCTACTACCTAGAATCCCACATTATCTCATTCAACCTTAGGAGTGCGTCTGCGCTCGCTTTCTTTGCAGCCATGAACTCTTCCCGGTTCTCTGCACCTCTAGGTCCTTTGAGAATATCTGAGAAGCATAGATCGACAAGGACCCTGAGTTCATCGTAGGTAAATGGCTCGCCATTGCCAGCAGCCAAAGCTTTCTCAGGGTGTGTTGCAAATGATTCTTTCTCATCTTTTGCGTAGTCGAGAGCCTTCTCGGCGCCTTCCAGGAACCAGTCCAGGAACTTAGCACTACGCGGAAGAGCGACAACCTCACGGTGCTGCTCAGATGCCCGCTGAGCATTTTCTTCCTCATCTGTATCCATACCCGGGTCAATGATGATATTCTTCAGGTTTTGCTGGAGGACGAGGACGTCCAACTGAAGCCGCAGTGCCCCATTCTCATTCATCGCGCCGATAAGATGGGCACGCGCAATAAACACCTGATCGATAAATCTGGCCAGTCCTGATGTGATATACCAGCGCTCGGCTGATCCCAGATACGAAGAGATGTTTGTATCGAAAGAGATTAGATCATTGTTTAGTTCAAGTACAGTTGGTGAAGCGGAAGTTGGCTGGTTCAGGACTATATGCCACCAAGTAATGTTCGAGTTGGGGGAGGGAGTTGTAGGTTCGGAATGGCGATTATTCCTGGGGTTGGGGCCAGCCATGGTCCTCGTGAGCATATGAATAATGCCACACCGAATGTCAATGTGTAAAGCGAAAAGTGCGGTTGAAGAAAGATCGCGCAGCGATTCGATAGTAGTATCGAACGCAGTCGCAGTTTCTTGGTTTAAGGGAAGGTACACTGGTTGGTTTGATCCCTCATGCTTTGGCACCATAGCACCAATCAATGTCCATCTGCGGTTTGGTGGTCCGCTTTCTTGTGGGTGCCGTGGTTCAGATGATGGCTGCGTAACTTGGCGCAATTTCAATAAATGGCTTGCAAGCCATTGCTTGATCGGTGTCAGTAACAATATCGAGATACAGATACAAATGGTCGACTCACTGTGCTGTTATATAGAAGAGAGAGAGCCATGACGGTTTTAGGATCAGAGATGATATCGTACGGCTCCAAAGGTACTTCGTTTGTATGTTCGAGGAGCAGGTTAGTTTCCTGAAAAGTAGTTAATGACAATTGCATCCTTCCTTAAGAATCATATTCACCTTATCTACGAGCTCTGCCTTGTTACTTGCTTCTGTTTTCCATAGCTCACTGACTACATCGTGGATGTCACCTGATCTGGCATATTGTGCAGCGGCCTTGAGTCGGAATTCACCATTGTCACGAGGAGAGATTTTGGTCACGATGGCTTATACATCAGATCAGATAAGAGTGTCAAGAAGTATATACTTTTCGGTCCTTACCTCTGTACCACCCACAGCATTTATCGTAATAATTCACGATTTGTGTGATCAGTAGTTGTGTGAATGCTTGGTCATGGGGGATACTAGACAGCATTTTACTGAACTCGCGGATGATGGACATGAATTTAACCGTACCCTAATGCACCCAATGTCAAGAAAGCTTCAGTGGGTTGGGATGTTAATAGCTTACCTTGAAGACTGGACGCGGAGACACCGCCAGCCATTGGGGATCTTCTGTAAATGCATCTGGTGTAATGTAACTCAACATACAGAGATCTGTGACCGTCTCATCAAGCTGGGGGAGGAACACGTTGACCATAAAGTCGTCTAAGAAGGAAGTCAAAGTACTCATAGCAATATCGGAATCCACGGGTACAATTTCCTTTAGGCGTTGAATGAAAGAGAGCGAAGGTGGAAGAAGGATGCTCATGTTGAATACACTTGGTTCGATAAGAATCTTATGACCAGTTCCTGAATTTCCTTGCTTGGAATCCGAAGTCCCATTCGGAGTAGATTTCTGTCTTGTCTTCGACACCAGACCTGGGACAGAAGAGCGGAGTATTTCATCTAATTCATTTTGTTCGGCTTTCATTTCCGTCGTCCCATCCGTCTCGGACAGTTTGAACATTTTCTAATACTGTAAGCGATGGTACACGGTAAACTATATGGTAGTTAGTTTTACACACCTTGCTCTTGTCTCTGTAGCCTGAGTAAAGATGGCGCTTGGAGTCGTCTTCACCTCCTGGCCGGAGGGATGACTCTCCATCAGTCGCTAGATAATCATGCATGAGTGATCGAATCTGTCACATCAGTTAGGTTAATATAACAAAGATACTACCAAGCAAGCAGGGCATGTCCAACTACCGACCTCACTTTGGTAGAGTTTCCACAGCTCCTTGAAACCCCCTGCAAGAGAGCTGCTTTTAGGAATGCCTTCACGTTCAACAATAGCTGCAATGACATCATGGACAACGCGATGACCTTCCGCAATAGACTCGAATTTGGCATACAAGGTCCACAAAAACTCAGATAGGACATGCCCACGGTTCTCGATTGTTTCAGTCGGTAGGTTTGTCTTACTCTCCTTCGCTGCAAAGCCACGAGTCAAATCTGGAAAGCGTGCGTCAACTTCTGCGTTTGTTTTGTCAACCACCGCAAAGAGTTCAACTGGAAGCCGCTGTTCAATCCGGTCGACAGCGATATCCAAATGACCCATTTTATTCAATGCTTCGATTAAGAGTCGGATATAGTAGAATGTGTCAGCTTCCGGGTTACGAGAAGCATCCTCCACCATGGGTGCCGAAGCGTCCAGCTTCGCGAGGAAAGTATAAACCGGTCTGTCCCAAGATGCGCCAGCCCATCCGGATTGACTTGGGCTGTTGTTCTCCCCCTCCGGGGTTGGTGGTTTCCATCGGTTTGAGCAATAAGGAGATTTGAGATATAGATGATCGTGCAACTCTTCTACCAATATATCTGTAAGTGATATTTCTTGGTTAGTGAAGTAGGCACGAATATCTGCGAGAGCGCCGATATTGTCCAGCTCGGAGCGTCGTAAGAGACGGAAAGCATCGTGAAGTACCTCAACGGCGGCGAGGAATCGCTTATCGGATATTCGCGACTCCAGCTTCTCCGGAAGAGATTGTATCTCTTGGATTTGACTAAACAACTGGATAATATCGTCGTACTTCTGAGAGGAGGTCGCTAAGTCTTTTAGTTCGGGCTTAGTTGACAGTAACCCCGACTTAGCCTGTTCCAGAGCATGTTTCAAGTTACGAACTCGGCCTTGGGAGCTCTGAATACTTGACTGAATCTTGTGGTAAGTACCAATTGAGCTGTTAAAGCCCTGGTGGTGTTCTAGTAATAGTTCTCTTAGCCCGGATCCATGCCAGACAATAGTTCGTGAGGACCTACCGTTGACAACAGATTTCAAAGTCCTTTGAATTCGATTATGCACACCCAAAAATTCGGGCTCGCGATCGGCTTTCCCCAGTGTACTTGTGTCCATTAATTGTAAAGCTACCTGAACTGGGACGCATTCGTCCGAGGCTACGAGATCCCATTCTTGTTGGATGGACTGTAAAATTTCTGTGATGAACATGGGTATGAGTTAGTAGAAGGACAAAAACATCTGAAATAAATGAAGAAAAAGTGGGCTGGCAATACGATATACAAACCTTCAACAGCCTGCGATCCAGCCGAGTTATTACTGGGGATATTTTGATCTTTCTCTCGGCTGCTATCTGGCAACCGACCATTGTCCCCTTGAGGCCGGCCATCGCGCGACGAACTTTGTAGCTTCCTCTCGGGGTCCCCGTCTCGTTCTCGCGTGCGTGAGCGTGATGATGAATATCCGTGATCTCGATCCCAATCCCGTCTTTCACGGCGTCGGTCGGGTGATTGGGACGGCGACAACCCAGGTTGCTGTGGAGTCTCAGGATAAAATCCACCATAGCCTCCCGGCCGACGCTCTCGTCCACCTCCTCCGTAGCCGTTTACAGCCAGATTGCTGCTGTTGCCATAACCTCCATCGATGTGGTCATATCGGCTGGCGTCGGGGTGCCCGTATCCATTGGCGTAACCTCCTCGGCCACTCATACCAGAAGTCTGTATTTAACGAGTATTGGATATGCAGGGCGGAGAATTAAGAGGATTCGTAATGGGGCACGGAAGGTAATTGGGCTTCGTGGAGTCGGCAACCAGGCTTAGCGATGACGTTGAGAAATCAGGCAGGAGAAAACAATCATGATCGTCCTCGACACATAGATCTGGGTAAATTCGAAGCAGGCCACAGCGCAAGTGCTGGATAACTATGGTGTAAATCCAACAAGATATTTGGGATCAAAGGGATCGCGACAGGCGGCAAGTAAGTTGCATGGGGGACAGCTATACCTAAGGTGTCGTGGGCTCACGGGTTCTCCACATTAAAATGCATTAAATCCCGTCCAGTCAGCCACATTCCGCTATGAAATGTATTTCCCCGAGAATTCTACATAGTACAAATCTAACGAGACACATGAATCTACTTCAATGGTTTTATTGGATTGTTAGAATAGAAACACATCTATGCGATTTCTATTATACTATAAGGGTTCTATTAACAATTATAGTTTTACTGTCCGCTGGTGTTTCAGCTCGCTAGCTCATTTGGAAATGGGTTGTGTTTCCCGCTGGAGCCAGCTGCGCGTGTGTTCATCACTGTTGAAGAAGTGGTGGGTCTTCTCCCAGATCTCCGCATGATAGTCGTTCACCCATTTGAGCTCAGCATCACTGAGAAGAGACGGTTCAATCAGATTGCGACCAATAGGGGCCATTGTGACATGTTCGAAGCCCAGCCACGGTTTGTCGCCAAACTTGTGCGTGGTTTGCACCTCACGTGCCATAATAACATCTGATACGGCAGGTTAGTATCGGCTTTGGATCAAAATCTGTATCACTTGAAGGCTTACTCTCTATCCGAATACCAAACTTGCCGTCCTCGTAGAAACCAGGCTCTGCTGTAGTTAGTAGACAGGCTCTCATAGAATAGGGCTAAAGTAGCATACCATCAGAAATGACGTTCCCGGGTGCTATAGGGACCTCGGTGTACTGGACACGGGTGCCGACACCGATTGGTCCCTCGTGTACATTCTACAGCTTGATAAGTATATTATGTAAAACTCGCAAAAGCTGACTTGCTTACCAAGTAGGAGCCAATTCCGTGTCCGGTTCCATGTAAGTAATCGAGTCCCTCCTTCCAGAGGTACTGCCTGGCGAGCACATCAAGTGCAAACCCACTGGTACCCTTCGGGAATACAGCAGTATCCAGACCAATCGTACCCTTGAGAACCAGTGTGAAGGCCTTCTTTTCGAGCTCGGTGGGTTGTCCGAAATGGAACGTTCTGGTAACATCTGTGGTTCCATCCAGGTATTGAGCACCAGAATCGCAGAGGTAAATGGCATTTGGATCGATGATAGAGCAACTTCCCTTTTCGGGTTTATAGTGGATGACTGCGCCGTTAGGGCCTGTAGAAGAGATGGTGTCAAACGAAAGACCAGCAAAGAGTTCGTGTTTAGATCTGATCTGCTCTAGTTTGTCTGCGGCATCCACCTCGTCGAGAGTCGATTTCTTGTTGACTAATTCGTTCTCGAGCCAGGCGAAGTACTCTATCAATGCGGCACCATCGCGGATGTGGCATGCTCGCATGCCCGCGAGCTCCACATCATTCTTCACTGCTTTCGCATCGCCTATGGGGCTACGAACTTCTTCGACCTGTCCCTCGCCTCCAAGGCTAAGGCTGAGGGCCCACGAAGCTTTATTGGACAGCAGAAATTTAGAGGCCGTTTCTCCCGCTTCTTGCTTTCTTGCCTCACCGAGGGCCTTCGCGTCGGCATAAATAGCATCATATGGCTTGATCACAACGTCTTGGCCCAGATGAGCAGTCACCTCCGGCGTCAGCTTGTCAGCATCGACATAAAGCTCTGTGGTTGTAGGTGTGATGATGGCAAAAGAGAAGAACACCGGATTATAAGGAATGCTGATATTTAGTTGTAAGTAAATTGGTATCCGGAGATTGGACTTATCCATAAACTTACTCGCTGCCTCTTAAGTTAAACAGCCAAGCAATTTCATCGAGCATTGCTGTTATCACTTGTTAGCCACCAAGGATTTCGATGTAAAGTAAGCAGGTAGCAGTACAAACGATGAAGCCTGCCGATTTTTTCGACTCCAGCTCTTTGCGGAGTTCGCCAATCTTTTCCTGGAAGCTCTTCCCAGCATATTTTTCCGGATGGACTCTTACCTTCTCCCTCGGGGGAGCAGGCCGGTCCTTGCCCCAGACCAGATCAACCAAGTTCTGCTGAACACCCACCAGCGTCGCGCCATTTTTCTTGAGAGTTTCCGAGAGGCTACGGGCACCAGCTGTGAAACTTAGTTTCAGGAATTGAGACTCAGCAAGAACAAGGTCATTCACTCACACGCGGTGATCAAAGCTGGGTCAACACCAACGACCTTACCGCCTTCGGCCTGTTCGGTAGTCCTAACCACATACTAAGCCCAACGATTCTGAACAGGTCATATATGCACGATATAACATACCATTCCTGCCAAGTCGGAAAGCCTTCGACACCACGCTTCAAGAGCTGCCAATTGCTGTCAAGCTGTTTTGAAGCCTGGTTGAAATATCGCCCATCAGTGGACAGAGCGGCCTTGTTCAGGGAAACAATGGCTGTTCCAGCGGATCCGGAGAAGCCAGAGATAAATTCTGTGGCAAGTGTGAGCTATACAGCGGTCTATGGTAGTGGAGTGGAGAGTTTGTGCCGGAAGATGAAAGGTAGGGTTTAAGGACGTAAAGCTAACCTCGGCGGCCGTCACATGGAGCAATATACTCTGACTGATGACTATCTTCGGATGGGACAACTTTGAGAAGGGTGAGTATTGAAGTAAATCAACTAAGCACAGTGGAATGATGTCATACTGTAAACATCTACCTTGTGCTCCTGCATCAACTCTCTGAGTCTCGCGAGGCGTTCGGAGGTGTTCACGGTCTCCATATCGATTGAATAGCGCGGTACAGAGATAGAAAAGAACCTTGGGCGAGAGAGGGGTAACTGGCGAGCCGATCGAAATGTTGATATCCACGGAGAGCGAATTGGAGGGCGAGAAAAAAGCATCGACGAGCGAGGGTTGAAGAAAAGGATGCAGGTGCCCGAGTCAAAGGTGCCCCAAAATCACAGATGACAAGTACAAGTCCTCGGAATGTTGCACGAATCTGCGAGGGTTGTGAAAGGACGAGGTGGGGTTGAAGAGATGGAGGGTTAGGTATAATTGTAGTGGTTAAGAGAAGGTCGTGTGTGCAATGTTCGAGTGGCAGCCGTGGAGATATGGAAGGACCAACAAGACGATTAGCTTGGGTTTAAGAGCTGTAGCTGCAGTGTACCACCACCGGTGTAGGACCGAACCACCATTACATTACCTACAGCAGAGATTCCCGGCAATTACCGTCTTTTACCGCCTTTCGTCATTTTTTCACCCCACGGCTCCATTACTGTACAATACAGAGTCGTGACCACAATTCGTCATCTTCGGGATGAACATCAGAATACAGACGCCACTTTTCTCACTTGCAGCTGAAAAGATAATAATTCTCCAGTCGCCTCTTTGGTCGGTGTTATTCCTCCTGAAAGCAGGGAGTTTCTGTTGTTGAATGGACTGGAAATGACAGGTTTATCCCATGGCTCCATGACAACGCGCACAGAACACCATATAGACCCTCCAATGACTCTTGTCACATGGTACAAACATACGGACTAATGTCTTCCTTTTCAGATGTCCTCTTCCCCTCTCATATTCTAGTCAAACACTGCCTTAACTTCCCCTCCATCCCACATCTTCACCGCCTTACAACTACGCGGTAGTGTTATCAGCACGTGACGCCCCTTTACAGCTGTTTGAGCCAATCTATACCCGTTCCTTATCCACTACAGCAAGGCTTCAAGTGCTTCGGCCATGTCTGTGGACGTCCCGGGCCAAAGCTCTGATGCACAAGTCCTCATTAATGAGGCGAGGACAGTATGCCTGGCCCATAATTCCCACTTCCTGCTTAGCTTCTAACAATGCCTAGCTGGTGTCTCAGTTATATGATCCAGCAAATACCGGCAACCCCGCCAAGATCAAAGCTATCCAGGAGCATCTGCAGATTCTCCAGAAAGGCCCCCAGGCATGGCTCATTGCTAATAATCTCCTCAGTGATGAGAGTACTGACTTGAGGTTCTTTGGAGCCCTAACATTTACAGTCAAGATTAACCAGGATTGGTACGTGAACTGGCATACCCTTTTCGCGATTGGACACCCTGACTTACTGGTGTCGGCTGCAGGCAACAGTTAAATGAAGATGAGGCTCGAGAGCTTCTTGGGCGACTGATTGACCACTATGTTCTCTTAGTAAATGAGGGAGAGCGCCCTCTAGTGGTACGCAAGTTGGCTTCCAGTCTAGCAACCATCTTCCTAAAGCCGAATGCTCCCTGGAATCATGCTATTTGGAACCTGGCGGCTTCTTTGGCAAATGGAAAGCATCTCTCTGAGGAGCAGTGTCAGTCTTTTGACCTGCAAGGTGCTGTTCTTCCTGCCATGTCCGAAAGGCAGGTGGTCAGCTTATTATACTTCTCTAACATACTGGCGGAGGAAATCAATAGATGGAGTCCGGAGTCACGGCGAAATCGGGATAGTAACCGGGCATCTGAAAATATCAAGCATGCTTTTCTTCTAGTTGAGTTCGTCCTCCGTCATATGCTGCAGCAAGAATCTTCCGGTCACTCTATATCTGATGGCGCTCCAGGCGTCGAGGCCATCAACTCCTACCAAGTAAGTATGCCCACGCCTATCCAACGAAACTTGCCTAACGTCAGGGCTACAGTCGTGGGCCTTGGTCCGTAATGCACTCCAACTCCGCGACACGATACGCGCCACTCAGCTTGCTCCTGCCACCGACTATGTGATCCAAAGTTTGAACGTTCCCAGCTTATCTAAGACTGCAATGCAGGTCCTGGTTGAATTAATAGATTGGCGAGACAGTATATTTAGCCAGGAGCATGTCTACTCTATATTGGAATATATCATCAGTGATCTTGGCACGGCCCATATCGCTTCCATAATGGATGCCGATTTTGAAGATGAGAATATGACATTCTTGGAACTTCTATTAGCGTACGCAGCACTCAAACAAAGGGAGCTTCTGATTCAGCCCTTGAATCCTGATCATGAGAAAGTTCTGGCCCTTCTCCACACACTCTTCAAAGCCCCTGGATATGCAGCAGTGGACGAGTCAGCATCGCCGTTGGTCCTTGAGTGGTGGACTGAAGTTGCAGATGATCTCCAAGAGATATACTTGGATACAGAAGAGAAAGAAGGGCTTGATCCCGCTAAACACAATCTTGCCCGTGCAGCTATGGATTGCTTTGAGAAACTCAAATACCCGAGTCCAGAGGAGCTACAAGAATGGGGCGATGATGATCGCAGTGAGTTTGGCGCTTTTCGCCGCGACGTTTGCGATTTCCTCCTAGCAATCTATCCTATGTTAGGAGTTGAGTTAGTTCAAGTGTTCCAGGAACGAGCAAAATCATCTTTAGTGCAGCAAGACTGGAGAACATTCGAGGCCGCAATATTTTGCATGGCTCAACTTTCGGAAGCTGTTGACGAAAACCAGCATGCAGATGAATGTTTAAACGCAATATTCTTTTGTGATGAATTTGCTCGGTTATGCACAGGGGATATTGCAATGATTCCAGACAAACCTCGGCAGACACTGGTGGACATGCTTGGACAATATCAGTCATACTTTGAACGCACACATGCCTTACTTCCTCGCGTACTCACGTTCCTTTTCGCCTCATTGGACGTTGCATCATGTGCTTCTGTAGCATCCAAATCTATATCGCATCTTTGCAAATCATGTCGCAATGCTCTAACATTCGAGCTTCCAGCGTTCATGGACCAGTTTGAGCGTTTTCGCTTCAAGCCTACAGCCACGGCTTCCACCATGGAGAAAGTTCTAGAGGGAATCGCTGCTATTATACAAACTTTACCTACTGATAACGAGAAAGCTCAGTTCCTAGAGCGAATACTCAAATTCTTCCAGGAGCAGGCAGAGCTGGCACGAGATGAAGCCTCTCGCGGGTTAGTGGAGCCTGCTCGCTGTCGCGGCCAGTTAGTTCTCCGCTGCGTTGCAAGTATTGGAAAGGGGCTCAGAACAGATGGTGAAATCGTTTTAGACGCTCTTGACGGCGGGAATGGGGACCCTTATCCACCGACCTTCTGGAATACGGGTAATGGCGCTGTATCGCAGAACCTGATAATGCAGTGCATGCAGCTTCTTATGACCGACTTTCCTTTAGACGTGACCATCATCGAAGCAGCATGCGACATACTGAAGGCTGGTTTTACCGAAAACAGTGGCCCCTATGTCTTTCCACCAACGGTGACAGTCAATTTCGTGAAAAGTATACCGTTAGGGAGTGCCGGCACAGATATGGTTATGGGTACGGCCTCAGCGTTCTTGGCCTCTCACAGTGCACATCCACAACGTATCCGTGAAGAGACTGTTGCCCTGATTGTCCATGTATATGAGACATTTTGCTGGATGCACGAGAAGCCAGAGTTCTACGACCCCGAGGTTGCAAACAGCGGCATCGACTTCCTCACTCGCCTGCTCCCCAAGTATTACCCTTTTCTTTTCACTCTTACTGCTGTACCTCAGGAGTCTAACCAGCCAGGAACTGGTCATGTTGATGGCGCCCCTCAGCGTCCACCAGTACTCCAAGCGATTCTCAACTTTACACTCCTCTCCTTGCAAGGCCCGGAGCCACTCCCCCTTCGCTCTGCCTCCCAATTCTGGGTAGGCGTGCTGAACCTTCCTAACGAGGAAGAAGCTGTACAAAGAGCGCTCAGAGACAGTATTCCAGCTCTGTGCCGCATACTGGCATCTCAGGTCGCCGGGCGATGTGCCCGCTCCGACCTTGAACATCTCTGTGAGGTGCTCAGAAGGCTCATCTTCAAACAGCAAGGACTAGCTCGCCCGCATCTCGCTAGCACACTAGCGGATGTATGTAATGATCAAACAAATCACAACCAGAGTCCTGCTGTGTCACCCGAGGAGAGACAGCGCTTTCTTGCGTCGCTGTTAGTTGCCAGGGGCGCAAAAGCCCAGACGAGCCAACTGACGCGTTCCTTCTGGGTGAAATGCCGTGGATCTGGTTTCGATTATATTGGGTAGATACCAGGGGTTACAGTTGTCGCAATGTGGACAATGCAACAAATACGAAGAATTGGGTTTGGATATGTCCAAGTAAAAATAACTATCAAGTCCAAAGTGAGGCCCGAAAAACTGATGTAGACGCACAACAGGGCGATGTCAGCAACAGATGTGTGAGTGCCTCATAGGGCAGTGGCTCAGGCACAATTCATCATGTTCGTGCCTGTCTTGTCATAATGGTGCCTATTAAGACAGGCAACGCATTGTTCCAGCGCTAACAATAACACACCACCAGACAAAGAACCACTTGTTCTCCTTGGTAAAGTGGGTCACCATGTACGATCTCCAGCCACTGGGGCGGTGTACGTACAGATCAACATCAATTTTGACCAATCTGGAAGCTCCTTGCTCCGAATCTGATGTTCGGCTCGCCTCGCTTTCACCAAAGATGGGTCTTTGACTTCCGATCAGGCCCACCATATGGTTGAGCTGAATGCGCTGCCCTTTATATAGTTCTGTTTAGTTGCCCCCCGCAATCTTGAAACCCCCTAAAATGAAGACTCTCTCCACTGCAAAAACTCTTTGTGTCTTGACCCTTTAACTACTTTTCTCCTTTTTCGCATGGTCTCTTCCCTCGTCCCAATTACTTTCTACGAGGCTCAGTTTTGGAACAGACATCATGCCTGTTTTCGCGAATTCCCCCGAGGCTCTTTCAAATGTAACCCGCACGGATTCGCTTGATCCCGCCACGACATGTAAAGGTGTTACAGGTAATGGCCGGCCATGCCGCCGTGCATTGGCATCTACGGATGTAATGTACTGCTGGCAGCACAAAGATCAAGACGTGCCAGTACCGAACGGGACAGGCAACAAGCCGAACACTTCTCAAATAAATCCCAGATCAAGTATTGATACATTGATGGAGCGACTCAATATCAATGACCCACAGGACAACACCAACAAGTACCGGCCGTTGAAGAAGAAGAAGAAGACCAAGCGAACATTATGCTGTTGCTTCGAGATTATCGAAGAGGATGAACCGCTTCCTCCGCGGCCCGTGCGTCCATCTGGAAGACCCCAATCAATGCAGCAAGTGCCATCCAGTGCTCCTCAAAGACCGCAAAAAGGAGGGTGGGTCCCTCCAACAGTCTCACCTGAAACCAATACCGCCCTTACCGAAGAGCTTGCCAAACCACTGTCGGAAAAAGATGAGCCGGGGTATATTTATATCTTCTGGGTCACGCCGGCCGACTCGTCCAGGTCGATGCCGCCACCTACAGACGTCGCCTCGTCCTTATTCTCTAAGCATGAGCGCGGAAGTAATGCCATCCAAAAGGCCAGAGATCTCAATGCCTTGGCTTCGAAGCCCACTGAATTTAGTCCCGGCACAATTCGCCTCAAGATCGGCCGAGCGAACAATGTCCAGCGTCGGATGAACGAATGGACCAGGCAGTGCTCTCACCACATCACCCTGATTCGATATTACCCCTACACGCCGTCGTCGCCCCGCCCAAGCAACGGACCCGCTCCCGAGCTGGGAAGGAAGGTTCCGTATGTCCATCGCGTGGAACGACTGGTTCACCTCGAGCTGGATGACTATAAAGTCCGCGACATGGGCAAGTGCGAGGAATGCGGCAGGGAACACCAGGAATGGTTCGAAATCAAGGCCGACAAAGAAGCCATCAGGGGAGTGGACGAATGTATTCGCAGATGGGTGAGATGGGCAGAAAGCCAGTAACCGCCGGATTGAATTCTATAGAATGTGTGACATAAAATAACAGGACAAACTCTCAATCAAGCCATAGATAGTAATTTAGATAATACAATGCAGCTTCAACTTACATACTGGGCGGGGGAGGGGGAAAATCTCCTGAAAGCAACCACTTCGTAGCAATAAAAATTAATCATTAGACCCATAACTAGGAGTAAGTAGAAGATAGTCGCTGACCACCATCCCAATCCCGATCCCGATCCCGATCCCAAATCCTAATCCATTGAAACAATCCCAAATCCCACCCGAGCCAAGAATAGATAGATAAAATAAAAATACGTAAAGGAAATGAAAAGAAAGGAAGAGAAGAGAAGAAAACACTTCAATCCCTATCCCCTTCCACCTCCAGATCCCCATCCAAAGCCACCCCCCTCTCCCCATCAACAACCCAGCCCAAGACCCGCTTCCCAACCACAAAGACAACCCACCCCCATCCCCAAAGACAGAACCCCAAAACACTCGTCCCGATCACCACCGGCGCGAGCACCAAAACGGCCACACAGGAATACAGCGCCACAGCGAGCGACGCGACAATCACAGCGCCAGCGACGAACAACCCGATCGGCACGCACGAGCAGACCAACTGCGCCAGGAGCAAGGTCGCGATAACCGGATGCGCGTGCAGGAAGTCCAGGACGGTGGAGACGACGGAGTTCAGACGGAGCGTTTGGCGGAAGAAGAGGGTGGAGAGGTAGGTTTTCACATCCTCGATGAGGATGGTGGTGTCTGCTGGGGCCGCCGGGGGGTCTTCTCCTTCTTGGTCGTGGTCGTGAGAGTGGTCTTGGGTTTGGTCGAGGGGTTGTACTTGTTCTTCTGGGGGTGGGGTGAGGAGGACCTGGGTGGTGGTTGTTTCGGAGGCGTTGTCGGGTTTGAATTGGGGGAGGGTGAAGGAGTGTTCGGTCATTGTTTTGGGGGGGTGGCACGGTTGTGTGATTGGTTTTGGTTTTAGTCTTCGCGGTTCAAGTTTGTTGCGACGCAATGCAAGTAGGTAGGTAGGAAGTAAGTCTAGGGGTGTTGAATAGATAGGCGTTGGTGTTGTTGGGACGTCATTCTGATCGAGTGTTGAAGCTGAGATGATGGAGAATCTCTACCGAGGCTTTTTTTCGAGCATTGAAATGGTATTACGGAGTGTCATGACTCTGTTAATGAGGTTTGGAGTCATGGGGAAGTATTACCGATACGCCGTGGTTACCTCCGCTGCGGGTTGGGGAGCGTTGGGGTAGATCTCCATGGATGAAGGACTGAGGTTGCCCCTTTCACGTGTGTCATGGTCTCCTGCTCTTGACTTGATGGCCTTCTTCGCCTTTTCTGGACGTTTATCTAGAAGGTGTTGCCCGAAGTAGAAAGGTTCTCGAAGGACCTGCCTTATCTGGTAATCTATCGGACTGATCTCGAATTGATTCAAGTCCCTATACGATTTTGGTTTGGCAGGATAGCGATCAACCTATACAATTGACTTTTTCTTTGTTAGGAAGGTGATCTGTCGGGTAGATCGAGATTCGAGACCCTGTTCCTGTCGCTAGTTTAGTATCGAATAAGTTCGAGGATTAAGGCTCTAGAAAGGACCCCGGCAGCTTTTATTGGTAGGTTTCTGATGGACTTAAGCGCCTCGTCTGAGCTAAAAACGCGAGCCTCATAATCCTGTCATCAAATCAGGATCTCTGTTGTCTTACCCTGTTCCGGCTGACCGTTCCAGGCAGCTGCTTTTACCGCTATGCAAGATCTGTCGCCATGACATGTTATCTGGTGGTACCATAATGCGCACTTGAAACAATTATTAGAGAGCTTTTGTGATCGCCCAAGTCCTATTAACACACCCAAAGAGACCATGTGACAATGCTTTCATATGCTCATAGCTCGTAATCGACAATGTACAGTACATCTTCCCTCCTTTATGTTCGGATGGGTGAAAACAACAGGGGAAGAACATAGTCTCAAGAAGACACTATATCGACTTTTCTAACGCCCGCAAATGAATGAAACAGCAAATGGGGTATATCTACCAGCCCCTCTTAGCCAGCTTGTCGCTCTCAGCCATCTGAGACACGTTGATTCCAACCATGGCCTCACCCAGACCCTCGCTGACCTCAGCGAGAACCTTGGGGTCCTTGAAGTGAGTCACAGCCTGGACAATAGCCTTGGCGCGCTTCTTCGCATCGCCAGACTTGAAGATACCGGAACCGACGAACACACCATCGCAGCCCAGCTGCATCATGAGTGCGGCATCAGCGGGGGTGGCAACACCACCGGCAGCGAAGTTGACGACAGGGAGACGGCCCTTCTCGGCAGTCTCACGCAGGAGCTCGTACGGGACCTCAAGCTCACGAGCGAAGGCGCGGAGCTCAGGCTCGTAGTCGGGAGAGGACTGGAGGATAGCACGGGCACGAGCAATCTGAGCGTTAACGGTGCGCATGTGCTTAACGGCTTCCACCACGTCGCCGGTACCGGCCTCACCCTTGGTGCGGATCATAGCAGCACCCTCGGAGATACGGCGGAGAGCCTCGCCGAGGTTGCGGCAGCCACAGACGAACGGAGCCTTGAAGTTGTGCTTGGTAACGTGGTAGATGTCGTCGGCGGGGGTGAGGACTTCGGATTCGTCAATGTAGTCGATGCCAATGGCTTCGAGGATCTAACGTAAGCATTGTCAGTTTCCGGCGGCATATGCAGCGTGGCAAGGACGCTCCTACCTGGCATTCAACGAAGTGTCCAATACGGGCCTTGGCCATGACAGGGATGGTAACAGCCTCCATGATCTCCTTGATCATGCTGGGGTCGGACATGCGCGCCACGCCACCCTGAGCTCTGATATCGGCGGGGACACGCTCAAGGGCCATGACAGCGGCAGCACCGGCTTCCTCGGCAATGCGAGCCTATACGAGTGTCTCATTAGATTCATCCATTGAGCAGAAGCCATTGACCAAGTGCATACCTGCTCAGCATTGACAACGTCCATGATCACACCACCCTTCAACATCTGGGCCAGACCAGCCTTGACGGTGAAGTCGTTGGAGGCAGCAGCCCCATTAGTTCCGTTCTGCTGAGAAGCCATTGTGAGAGAGGTTTGTCCGAATTCGAATTGAGCAAGTTAGGACACGGGGAGTGAGAGGCGGAAGGATGGTCTGAGAACGAGGGAAGAAAGAAGGAAGAAGCCGAGCCGGGATATTTAAGGCGAACGGATGGTGAGTCAAAGAAAGCGAAGGGCAATCGACGCCGAGAGAACGACCAGAGTAACGTAGGGCGTGCCCATGGAACCCACCCTTTCGTTCATTCCCCTTGTTCACCCCGCCGACTTTTCCCTTCAGTCTGCCTGTCCGCGGAGAGACGGTCCAATCAGAAGGCCACTGCCCCTCCATCACCTTGCGGTAGAGTTTAGCAAACTTTCGGCCGGAAACTTTGCAATACTGGCGCAACCCCCGCCGCTCACCGGTTTCCCGCGGGCATACCTGGCTGTCCGAGTGTCCTGCAAGTATTGTACATTTCCGGAGTATCGTTCCTCGTCCGATGGCCAAGATAATTACCATCCATTCGGTGGGTTTCATTGGTGGGACCACCCACCGCCCAGACGTTTTTACCAACTTGAGCAAAATTTTTGTAAAATAGAACCCTCCCGAATAGATCTAGAACCACACATCTTGGTAATATTATGAACAGTCTGCTAGTAGTTACAAATAGCAATAAACTCGAATAAGAGACTTTAGTTGTTGGACTGAGTATGAGCAAGCAGCTAAAGTGTACATCCTGTATTCAAATGCGGATCCACTGAGTCAGAGTATATCCCGCAAAATATTGTATGCTTACTACCTCACATTACCCCCGCCACTCCTTAGGACTGCCAAATAAGGACTGACACATGCTACTAGCACCCGGCCGAGTACCTTACCTACCAGTTAGAGTAAAATTACATCTCCATGTGTACTGCAGTACCAACTTTTACTTCATCGTATACTGAATAACGGAAACTTCCGAGGCGGAATGACGGAAGTTGCCACTTGACACTTGTATAGATCATGGCATCTGCATATCAATCTCAATAGTAATACCGCTGGAGGGAAAAGCATACCTCTATTTGCCCATGTAAGAGCTATTATTAGTCACCGCATGTTAAACAAGCTCCTTCGAAGTCTGCCCTCACTATACTAGTAAAAACTGGCTGACAACTAACTAATCTTCCTAGTCAACCTGGTCGAGCACAGATATACTATGCCTGCATATCGGATCAGATATGCGGACTACACAGTACCTGTCCCCACTCCATATATAAGCTTAATACGGTGATACACATTAGGTTAAATATAGCCTGTCAGAACCTTGCTTCTCAACGTGGCTCATCTATGATCTTCTACCTCTTCTAGTTGATATTTCGGGCTTTTGCCAATAAATATCTTGCTGTACACGGTTGTTATAGCGCCCGAAGGAATAGTTATTGTAAATCAAGTGACTGCGAACCACGTGCGCCTTTCTATCAATTTGGTCGCTATCCGTACAGCCCATGATATGATTCTATCGTCCCTGCTTTGGCTTCTCTGAGGTTAATAAGACAGAGGTCTGAGACCCTATGCGTACTGAAGGAGCGTCTCAAAATACTGATGCAAAATCACAATAGCTGCATCTTCCAATGGCTCTAGTTGTTACAGTTATATGGGGCATGTCAACACCGTTGCCCCTTGCTACTATTGTTTAGAGCTATCGGAGTCCTGGCTGACAGATCTCTCTCTCGTAGGTGTCCGATTGATTCACGAACAACAGACATATTGTTTAACAGTTCAAACAAGCCAATGCCATGCCTGTAAAACCACTATTTACATAAAGCAGTAAACCAACTAGCCAATTGCTATGTGGTAGACAGTTGTATATTTAATTGAGATTGACAGATTGGCCTTCCGGTGACGTCACCGCCATCTCCAACATCTCCTTCAACAGCTGTTACATTCCCACTCTCAATTCCTTGAAGAAGCTTCCTCCCACCTCAAAAAGGCTCTACTACCTAACCGCAATTCCAAGAAACCAACCAATCTCCTATACCCCCACGGTAACCCATCGGATACACCCAAACATGTCATTCCTCCTCGCCCGCACCTCAGCCGTCCTCGGCGTCGGACTTGGTCTCTCCCTCAGTCCGCTCTCCCCCTTCCGATCCGCCCCAATGCAGTGCCAATACAGCGCCCCCAACTACCGACCCGAGTCGCAGGCCTCCCCAGACTCAGCCTGGGCCGTTGACCGCAGCGACCCGGTGCTACTCAAACAAGGAGCCACGAAACACAATTCTCCAAGCGGGTGGTTAACGGCGTCCAATATGCGACAGGTGAGTCTGGGGAGTGTCCTCGGGCTGGTTGTGGGGGTGGGGTTGAGGGCGTTCTCGAGGGTCTTGGTTGTCCTTTTGGGCATGGGAGTTGTGTTTATTGAGGTATGTTCGTTGTTTTTTTTTTTTTTTTTTTTTTTTTTTTTTTTTTT